GATATTTTTTTGGGGATTCTACCCCCCCCCCCCATCAAAAATCAAATGGTCCGTCCCTAAAAGGTGACTTTTAGTGCCGAATTTTACATTTCTGCTCCGAATTTGCGATAATCCCAACCGGAAATACGACGAAAACTCGTCAAAACAATGCTACGCTTGTATCGCGTGACTCTGGAAATGCCAGAAATGGTTCTACAGGTCAAAGTGCACCCATACGCGTGAGTTTGACGTCATCCGGGCTAAAGGGAGCTCCTTATTGGCCAAGTATTACGTAATACAAGCGCGTGAGAGTAAAACCATAGGAAGCCCAAACAAGCGGGTTTTATTCAATAAAATCCGTAATTAAAACGTTTGAGTATGCAATTAGCAATAAAATTGCTGTTAGAATCATGCACGTAGCGTGCTCCGGTCGCGCTGTGATTTAACTACATAATTAGTGATGTATCCTATGTTATTGGGAAGGACGGAAAGTATTCCTCATTTGTCTATATATTGACAAATTTAAATGATAAATTACTGTAGGAAAACGGCACGTCAACTGCTAAATGTCTATCGTAGGTTTAAGTTGAATAATCAAACTATATTATTATCATAAAACTAGTGTGGAATCTAAAGGAAAGCACTGGAAAAAACGTGCAAAAGTTTCGTAAATATGCCGAAATATTCGTGAATATATGCGGGATGTAAGTACATACCCAAAATGGCGGCGACAGACGAATCTGATTGGTCGAGAAAAGTAAACAAAGTGCGAGAGATTTTGACAAAACTGGGGGGAGAGAAGGCACGTATTTTTTTTATCTAACAAGAACGGGAAAATAAAAAAAAAATACGAAAAATTGTAAATAATATTACGAAAAATATTTTTATTCATTATAAATTCAAAAATATTGACGAGGGCTATCAGTATGTAAAGTTCTGTCAAAAGAGAAAGACTTTTTTCAGGTACAAATATATATTTTTACGCAAATTCGGCTGCAACGTTTTCACGAAAGCATGTTAAAGTATATTCCTAATTGTAGTTTTATACCGGCGAACGGCCGTCAAGAAATGGCAAAAACAAAACCAGGAAAATACGTACAAAAGGAACGTCAACAATTTCTTATGGTTAGTTCATAACTTTGTTTGTATGACCATGAAATATACATAATTTATAAATTAAAGCCCCCAGTCGCGTTTCATACTAGTGTCAAAAACCGAGGTAAAGTGATAAATATGGCCTTGTTTTACTTTTATTTGGCAAAAACTGTCAGATAAAAGGTTTCCCATATATTTTAGGTCAACTTTGGTGAGAAAATTATAGTGTAAAAACACCTACCTTGAGATATTAGTTGGGTAAAGTATTCGCATGTCCGTTTTCATCAACATTGTCCACTCAAATAGGTTTTGCGAGTTAATGCCTCGAATATAATCACACATAAATGCCCAATTTGCCGACATACACAGTTTTTAGATTAAAACACAACCCGTTTTGGCGTTTCCGAGTTTTCTGCAGTCTACGTGACTTGTTGCACGAATTCATGTGCTTCGACTCTACGGCGATTTGAGAACACTTTCAAAAAATTGATTCAGCAAATCCAGAAACTCCTCTGACGTCCAAAGCTAGGAAAACGTTGAAAAACATTCAATATATCTGTATAGATCTCAATTCAAACTGTTTCGATGCATTCTGAAATGAGAAAAATAACCGAAAATGTCGCCTTCGAATTCGAAAACAAGCTATACAAGCGCCAAAAATCAATACTTAAAAAAAACAGAAAAAATAAGTTGCAGAATACCAAGATCGAACTGAAAACTTGTTATCAACACTATTGCCTGTCTAAAATGTGTTTAAACGGTTGAATTGTTGACCCAAAACAAACTGTCCCCTTTCTTAGATTACTACATTCTGCTATACCACGCATGCGTATATATATGCGATTTTGGCGCTTGTATAGCTTGTTTTCGAATTCGAAGGCGACATTTTCGGTTATTTTTCTCATTTCAGAATGCATCGAAACAGTTTGAATTGAGATGTATACAGATATATTGAATGTTTTTCAACGTTTTCCTAGCTTTGGACGTCAGAGGAGTTTCTGGATTTGCTGAATTTTTTGAAAGTGTTCTCAAATCGTCGTAGAGTCGAAGCACATGAATTCGTGCAACAAGTCACGTACACAGCCAGAAACGCGCAAGTCGGAACAGATCTGCAACAGATCTGTTAAATCCTGTTGTCAACAAGCCGATATCTGGATGCGTTCGCTCGCCTTGTACCTGTCTGTTCTGACAGGTCCGCAACGGCCTGTCAACAGGTCTGTTGGAAGCTGTTGTGACAGAGCTGCAGCAATGCTGTTTTCAACAGGTCTGTTAGAAGCTGTTGTGACAGAGCTGCATGCAGCAATGCTGTTTTCAACAGACCTGTCGCAAGTTGTTGACACAGAGCTGCAGCAATGCTGTTTTCAACAACTTGCGACAGACCTGTTGCAAACCGAGGGAAGCGCCTTATGAAGCTTGTGTATTCACTATTTTGAAGAAAAAACGGCCAAACTGGTTGCCATATTTCGGTACGTTGTAGTGTTTCGTGAAATAGCCAGACTTTCATATGAACACTTATAAACAAACTTGCGAGATTGAGCAAAACAGCCGAAAAAATACGACAAATTCAAGAAAGGTTCTTATCGTAAACAATTTTCAAAATTAATTGGTCTTTAAGTACGACCGAAATATGACAACCTACTTGCATATTTTTCTTCAAAATAGTACATACAATAACACAAAGCTTCAATAAGGCGTCTTCCTCGCTCGCTGATTTCACTTGAAATTGGAAAGAAATCATTGTATATAACGAATTTCATATTCATTTGAACAATGAAGAACGTTGCAGTGAACACTCGGTTGCTCATGTATTTTTCATTTCTTAAGCTCTAGATCTTGTATTCTCATTGCCACAGTTTCTTCAAAAATCAAAACAGCTTTGAACTTGTTTGATTTTGTTTGAGGCAGTTGTTGAAATTTTGTTTGGCTCAAAATTCAAAAACAACTAAACATGATTACGTGATTGATATGTTTGTAATATTTCGTCCAATTGCAACGAGGAATGATGACGTGTGCACACGCCTTTATCCAATCAAATTAAAGAAATATAGCGATAGCACACGTCAGCAAATTGGAATTTGGATTTTGGAAATCGGAATTATTTTTTAAAAATATAAAAAGTTAAAAACAGCGGCTTTTGCATTTAATCACAGAGTAGATACTTAGGTTATGTTCACACGGGCGTCGTTTTCCAGCGTTTTCAAAACCTTTTTTCCTTTAATCGTTTTGACACCCTGTTCACACGATCCAAAGGAAAATATATCTCCAATATATTAAATAAACCAATTATACTTTACACGTTTTATCGTCCCCCCGACTCTAAACCCGATGTCCTTCAGCAGCTAAATTATTCTATCCAAAACAACCCAGAATCAAGTCGTATTGTATTGATAGGCGATTTTAATCTACCATCAGTTAAATGGTCGTCTGATCAGAAAACCCCCATCCACATCGGAGGACCTGCTGAGAATGAAATCTTTTGCGATTTGGTAGACGACAACTTCCTTCTGCAATACATACTTGGCCCTACCCATACTGCTGGTAATAAACTCGATCTGTTGATGTGTAACTCTCCTGAAATCGTCGGCGACGTCTCCGTTCTCCATCCCGAGACCTGTGGTTTCCCAACAGATCACTACATCGTGGAATTTGACGTGAAGTTGAAGTTTAAAAGAGCCAAGCCAATAAAGCGCCGAGTATTCGACTATGGAAAAGGAAATTTCGATGAGCTACGCAACTTCCTGACACGATATCCCATCAATGTTACCCCAACTGATAGCATTAATGATGACTGGGAACAATGGAAGGATACTTTCTTAACTACGGTGAGAAGGTACATTCCGATGAGAACTGTCAAAGACAAAAATAGTCCACCATGGATCGATAAAGAAGTGCGTCAACTTATCCGTAAGAAGTACAAAGTTCTAAAACAATACCGCAGGAACAAATCTGCTGATCGAAAGCGTAAATTACGAAGCGTTACTCAACAAATCAAATACTTGATTCGAAGTAAACACCGAGGCTATCTGGCTAAAATAAAAAGTTCGTTCTGTGACAACCCCAAACTATTCTGGAGTTACCATAAATCAATTCTTCACCACCGGACAGGTCAGAGCAACGAAATAACATATAATGGTTTCACAGCCAAGACGGCGAAAGAAAAAGCGGATCTTTTTAACACTTACTTTTCTTCAGTGTTTCGTCCATCTTCTACCACTTGTAACCAGACGCCTCGAACGGAAAGCAAAGAGAACATCTCGGAGATAACAATCGATGTAGACGAAGTTGCGCAATTTTTGCGTGCCCTTGATACATCGAAAGCATGTGGCCCCGACGGGATTCCAGCTCGCCTTTTACAAGTATGCGCCCTTGAAATCGCACCAAGCATATGTGAGTTGTTTAACCGTTCCTTGCATACTGGTCATGTTCCATCTGAGTGGAAATCTGCGAATGTTACACCCGTCCACAAAAAAGATCTTAAAGAACCGGCGGAACATTACAGACCAATATCGTTGCTGCCCATCGTTGGCAAAGTACTAGAGCGTTGCGTGTGCATCAGACTATATAATCATGTCAGGCACCTCGTCACAAAAGCACAACATGGCTTCCTTAGACGGCGATCTTGCGTTAATCAACTACTATCGGTACTACACGCCATCGGACAATCCCTTGACAAAAACGTTCAAACTGACGTTATCTACCTCGACTTTGCGAAAACTTTTGACTCTGTCGATCACCAAATTCTCCTCCACAAGCTTGCGTCATACGGTGTGTCAGGTCATTTATATGAATGGTTCGCGGACTATCTCAGTGGTCGTCGTCAAAGGGTTGTGATTGATGGAGCTACATCTAATTGGGTGCCAGTTACATCTGGAGTGCCGCAAGGCAGTCTCCTGGGTCCTATTCTGTTTGTGAAATTCATAAACGATCTTCCCGACATATTACCTGACGAGACTTTGGCAGCTTTGTATGCAGACGACACCAAACTGTACAAGTCCATCACATCAGTAGGTGACTGTGAAAGTTTGCAACAAGCTTTAACAGACCTTGACTGCTGGAGCCGTGACAACAACCTCAATTTTAACGAGTCGAAGTGCTTAGTGTTGACAATTACAAGGAAAAAAACCCCGCTGACGTACGCATATCACATGGGCTCAAAGGAACTTACTCGTGTGAATAAGGAAAAAGATCTTGGTGTATTCATAAATTACAACCTCTCATGGGACGATCATGTTCATACCATCACCGCCAAAGGGAACAAGATGCTTGGCATGCTGAAAAGAACTTGCCCTCTACTGACTAACACCGCAGTGAGGCGGACGCTGTATTGTCACTCGTGAAGTCCAGATAAGTTACGCCACCGAAGTCTGGTCTCCTCCTACCATCAAAATGAGATCCACAGTGGAACGTGTACAAAGGAGAGCCACCTCTTGGATACTGCAAGCCAAGCGCGGAGAAATTGCATATAAGCAGCGGCTGATAACCCTTGGCTTATTACCCCTGTGCTACGAAAGAGAAATAAAAGACTTAGTGTTCTGTTTTAAGGCACTGTATGGACATATTGATCTTGACGTGCATAGTTTCGTTTCATTTGTCAACAATGGCCGAACACGACTTAGTCGAAATCCTTCTCTCACACTCAAAATTCCTTTCTGTAAATCCAAAACATTTCAATCCTCATATTTTAACCGGCTTGTCAAGTTATGGAACCACGTCTGCAAAATTCTTCCCTGTACCACCTTTGCCAGCCTCTCCATCTTCAAAAGATCTCTTAAAGCCACTTACGCTAACTTGGTTACGGCAACATTTGACGTGGACATGCCATGCACCTGGACACTGGTGCGGGACTGCCCCTGCCACAGATCTTAAGTAGTTTTAATAGACGGTTCCTCTTATTGTGTTCACTGAATGCAACCACATTATGCTTGTGAGTTTGAAATTATTATGCTAACACATCCGTGAAGCATTCATTATGCTTGTGTGTTTGAAATTATTATGCCAACACATCCGTGAAGCATTCATTATGCTTGTGAATTTGAAATTATTATGCCAACACATCCGTGAAGCATTCATTATGCTTGTGAGTTTGAAATTATTTTGCTAACACATCCGTGAAGCATTCAGGTGGTTGTGTTAATGGTGCATACTAATAGGGGGAAGCGGCTTTTATATATTTGTATTCTATGTATGTGTGTATTTATATTTATGTACGTATTCGCTGCTTCGGGGTTTGCACCTTGCATGGGACTTCGCGTCTCGTTTGTGCTTATGCCATTTGAGTTCATATTAATTATACATAATATTAATTATATATAATTATATATAATATTAATTATATAATGTAATGTTCTCAATAAATATATTTGAAAAAAAAAAATAAATAAATAAACTACAGCTTCTGTTGTAAATTGATAGTGTTTATGTTACCGTGTGCACATAGCCTCATCTCCTCTGCATGTGATTTAATATTGCCTTGAATGAGAAAGTGAAGCCGGACGTGTCCATTTCGTGCGATTTTTCTCTTTACCACAGTCTTTACTCACATTTTCGATTTGTTTACCAACAACAGGCTTGTTGAAACTTGTTGTGACAGGACAAAAATTGTTTGTTGTGGACAGGTCTGTCGCAGGTCTGATAACAAGCTTGCTGCAGACTTGACAAAAACAACTCGCGACAGGTCTGTTGGAACAAGTTGGAACAGACCTGTTGATTTCAACAGACTTGCTGCAAGTTGTTCTATCAGACATGTTATCTCTTGTTAGTAACAGGTTTGTACATTACCAGAAATGTGGGTCAAGATGGTGGACATGACAAGAAATTACGCAACAAAATGGCGTTCGATAATGCTGGGATTAGTATAGGCATATAAGAACTTTCTCAAATATCGCATGAATGAGCCGCAAATCACGCTTACTTGACATCGTTTCACATGCCATGCTGATTCAGGAATCTATTAATTCTAACAACTATTTCTAGAATAAAATACACTCACTTCCCGAGCTCACTATTGATATCACATTCGCCAGCATAATAACTCCTTATATTGCATATGAATCTGACAATACACGCCACAAACGCGGCCTGGTGTACGGAAATATATCCAGCGAAATCTTGAGCTTGGCATCGGAATTGTTTCAATAACATTCAAAGTTTATATATTCGCCAACAAAAGTATCTAAATTCCGCAGGAAACTACTTCCAAAATCCTCTAAACTTAGCCATTTTATTCATCCATACATGCTACAAGAGGCAATTTTTATCAGCACAACTACGATAAAATTTTCATACATTGCGTTTCTTCTCCGCCATATTTGTTTTTAAATTAATTATGCTCTTCCCAGTCTCTTACCTTGCCCATCACGCAAATTTATGCACATTTCTCAGCTAAATAAATTTATTATACGTGCGTAAACGCGTCAAATTTGGAAAATACTTCTTCGATCTTGTCACAAATAGTGGTTCTGCTGTTGTAAAAAATGTCAGACAATCTTACATTAGTTAATCGCAGTAAAATAAAATAGAATTTAGCCGTCAGCACGGAGTTTGCTCTTCAATATATTAACAACGCGATTTGTCTTTGAAGACTATGAGCCGCCATTTTGTTTGTATTTTTTGATGAATCATCATTTATGCGTAAAACCGCTGGTTACAATTGCGGACGCAAAATGTCCCACATTTCTGGTAATGAGCGGGTTGTTTCAACAAGTCGCTACGGCTCTGTTGTCAACAGCTTGCGACAGACCTGTTCCCGCAAGCCTGTTACCGCCTGACGAAACCAACAGTCAACAGACCTGTCGCGACTTGTTGACAACTTGCCGCAAGCCGGTAAAATCAACAGCTTGCGACAGGCCTGTGAGATTTCTGGCTGTATAGACTGCAGAAAACTCGGGAACGCCAAAACGGGTTGTGTTTTAATCTAAAAACTGTGTGTATGTCGGCAAATTGGGCATTTATGTGTGATTATATTCGAGGCATTAACTCGCAAAACCTATTTGAGTGGACAATGTTGATGAAAACGGACATGCGAATACCTTACTCAACTAAAATCTCAAGGTAGGTGTTTTTACACTATAATTTTCTCACCAAAGTTGACCTAAAATATATGGGAAACCTTTTATCTGACAGATTTTTGCCAAATAAAAGTAAAACAAGGCCATATTTACATACAGCTGCCCCCCAAAAGATTACAAATCAGAAAAGTCGGGCAAATGTTCAACAAAAGTCGGGCAAAAGTCGGGCAAAAAGTAGTCAAAGCAATAAAATCTCTCTTAATAATAACCCCAGTTTGTTGGGCAAACAAAGCCAGTTGGGCAATATTCGCTTCACAGTCGGACAAATTCTGTCAATTATGCGGGAAATTATGTAAATTTTGTGATGTTTGGGACAATTTATTTGATGTTCCGAAAAAAATTTTTTTCGACACTGGTCGGGCACAATCCGAAAAAGTCGGGCAAATTTCTTTCCTACCCCCTAATATTTTCCTTCCCGTACGCCCATGCATATTTATCACTTTACCTCGCCTTGACACTAGTATGAAACGCGACTGGGGGGCTTTAATTTATAAATTATGTATATTTCATAGTCATACAAACAAAGTTATGAACTAACCATAAGAAATTGTTGACGTTCCTTTTGTACGTATTTTCCTGGTTTTGTTTTTGCCATTTCTTGACGGCCGTTCGCCGGTATAAAACTACAATTAGGAATATACTTTAACATGCTTTCGTGAAAACGTTGCAGCCGAATTTGCGTAAAAATATATATTTGTACCTGAAAAAAGTCTTTCTCTTTTGACAGAACTTTACATACTGATAGCCCTCGTCAATATTTTTGAATTTATAATGAATAAAAATATTTTTCGTAATATTATTTACAATTTTTCGTATTTTTTTTTATTTTCCCGTTCTTGTTAGATAAAAAAAATACGTGCCTTCTCTCCCCCCAGTTTTGTCAAAATCTCTCGCACTTTGTTTACTTTTCTCGACCAATCAGATTCGTCTGTCGCCGCCATTTTGGGTATGTACTTACATCCCGCATATATTCACGAATATTTCGGCATATTTACGAAACTTTTGCACGTTTTTTCCAGTGCTTTCCTTTAGATTCCACACTAGTTTTATGATAATAATATAGTTTGATTATTCAACTTAAACCTACGATAGACATTTAGCAGTTGACGTGCCGTTTTCCTACAGTAATTTGTCATTTAAATTTGTCAATATATAGACAAATGAGGAATACTTTCCGCATAGGCGTACGGGGCCGCTAAATTCTGGGGGGGGGCGGTAGCTTTTTTGCCCAAAAATTTCCACATTGCCCAAAAAATGTCAATATATTTATTCTGCCCGACTAGCACCAAAATTTTTTTTCCGGAAAAATT